AAGAAAATCCGGATTCGGATTTCTGCATAGTGAATCTGGGGCCTGACTCATAATTTGTGAACAATACAAACTGACAATACAAATTTGAAACTTACCAGCAGTCCAGCACTTAGGAATGCAAAACATAACTAACTTCAAATTTAGCCAACAAATTGGCGCATTATTTTGTAATCAATAGGTGGCGGCATGGTGCAAATATTTTTTTATCAACAGATAGCAATTGAGCGATGTCTTGCAGCATTTTATAGTTGCCAGTCTGTCGGATTCTAGGAAATACATCTACTAGGCTCTTGCACTAAAATACGGTAACTAACTGAGGCTTGCAAGCAGTTATGGTTGCGTGTAAACTGTGACATCTTGATCCGGCAAATATTGTTCCAACTATCCGGACCCAGTATCCGGTGGCAAAATACACATCCAGTCAACCCCTAGTTGTAGCATTCACTGGGTAACGGATATATTTGGACAACCAATTAATAATCTCCTTCATTTTCCTGACTTGGAATGCAAATGGAAAGGAAACTAGTCCTCATTGTCAATATCAACAGGTCCCTTGACTTATAAAGTCAGGCATAGAGGTAGGGGGTGGAGAGCATTCTAAAGCCAGCACTAGGTACATCTCTGCAACTGTAGCCTTAAAACTAAAGTGTGTTCTCTCCAATCAGATAAGGGCTGTTACTTTAACAATGTACTAGCTTTGATTTATTTAGATTAATACTTATTCATAAAGGTGGTATATATCAATATTAATCCAAATAAATCCAAAATTTTTAAGAAATGGCATGAAGTTTACAACAAAAAGATTTGGATTTAATGGGAGGATTATTCCATATGACGACATTGTACACAAGTGAAGCATAAAAATTGGCACCACAATTGGTGGCAAGGGTAGGTAATGGGTAAGAGTCACTGCCTTTTGAATGTAATAAATTATATATATAGGTAGTCATCGCCCACCATTTCGACAGACCGGTGATTTGGTCCTAAGTTGAGTAGGCTATATGTACAGTACTGTGAAATGATGTTATAAAAATCTTTAAGTAGAATTTATCAATTTTCTTTCATTATTATTATACTATATATATATATATATATATATATATATATATATATATATATATATATATATATATATATATATATATATATATATATATATATATATCATTTTCTTTGTTCATTTTATGCCATTTGTATCATTTCTAAACCATTTTGTTTCTTATTTTTACATTCATCAGGTTTGTTACTGCGAGTAACTGTGGATGCGCTATGGCTCCGCCCACCGGGCGAACAATTATACTGCTGTATAAAAGAGGCCTGCGTGCCGAAATTCTGTCTGTCGTCTGTTAATGTCTGAAATTAATTTGTGAAGACAGCTGTTGTCAGTACCATATTTTCGCATATATAAGACGCGTCTTATACAAAGTTTTACTTACCCCGCGCACATGGTGCATCTTATATATGGGTGCATCTTATGTGAAATAGTTTTTGCACAAATCGTCAAAACCCGCGTTTTATATACCGGTACTTATAATTATGAACTTCAAAATCCAGTTGACACTTCCGCCAAAATCATTGATCTTCATTCCTATAGCAATAATTTAAGCCTTCAATTTGATCACTATCGTTGAAATGGCACGGTTACAATCATGTTGCAAACGCACCCAGTTGGCTAGATTTTCTTCCATGTTCGGCCATCTTGCATTTCTACCTCTACGAGCTTGTTTCCTTGAATTCATCTTCGTAATCTCTATGTACATTTTTCTCGCTGCAGCCAAATTCTCTTCCAGCGGCTCTGTTGCCACACTGCTTGTTAAACTTGATGACATCTAATTTAAAGTCGGCCGTATATGATTTTCAATTCGGCTTAGTGACAATTTTAAACTTTTAAAAAATGCTAAGCAAATTGATCTCCCATTTATATATACCGGTAACAAGATACTATTCCCATGTTTATATAAGCTAACCACATACATCGTGCATTTAGTGGTCTATGTACCATAGCAGAGATCTCGGAAACGCTTAATTACGCATATTTGGACTCACAGTTTTGATTTGGGACACAGAAAATTGCCCACACATTTTTGTTGCAAAGAAGAAAGTTTTTCGGCAAAATAAATATGTTTTAATCAATATTAAAACTGAAGCAATGCTTTTATTTTAATTTGTTGCTGATTTCTTTGATCAAAGGTCACCTGCTTTCTTTGATGAAGGTGCATGTGTTATTGAAGGTGATGCTAAAGACTCCCTTTGAAGGATCAAACAAATACCTGTTTGTTATTGCTGCGGCAACATCAAATAATTGTAGAACATCAAGACAATGTTTTGTAAAAAAAAAATCCTTAGTGTACATCGGTGCTTCAGAAGATCTCAGTTTTTACTGAAGTTGCAGCAATTGTGGTCGTAAAGTCAAATGATCGTAAGTTGCATAGGTCGTAAGTAGATGACTACCTGTATGTGTGTGTGTATATATATATATATATATATATATATATATATATATATATATATATATACACACACACACACATACATACACACACACACAAAAGATGGATTTTCGTCATTTAGCAGTGCTGGATTTGGAACAAAGCAGGCTTATATTCCTAATATTAATGTTCTTGGGAAATCTATTCAAAGGCGAAATTGAAATATACAAAACCAAACTTGGTAAAATTGGCTTTGTATGGTTGACAACATCAAATTGATTGTTTTTCAAAGCAGTTAGAAGTTTTTTATATTTAATATTTTTAATACCTTGCCTAGAAATTGCAAGCTCATGTTTGGGACTGCCAGTCTTTGTGAGATTCACAAGATCATATACAGTACAATTTCTATCATTTGTTATCAATTTGTTTTGTTCTGGCAACTTTAAAACTGTCCATGTTTAGTTTCTTCTGGGTAACATTAATTTCAAGACTTGAGATGTGAAGGGCTGCATCGTCTGAAATCAATACACAAAGTTACCTGTGAAGATGAGTAAAAGAGGGGGATATATAACTGAGCCTTGAAGAAATTCTGACTGAATAGTGCATGACTTTAAAAGCAAATTGCCATTAAATACCAGATGGACTTTTGTGGATTTGGTATGAAGGTAACCATTTTACAAATAGGTGGCTGAACTTCTTAACATTTTAACTTTTGCAGAAGAATTTTAAGGTATTCCAGGTGAAGCAATAAAATCCCTATTAAACATTCTTCATCCATTTCTTAAATCCACCTTTCCCATACTAATCTCCCTCTCTCTCCCTGACATGAACTCCTCTTATTCCATACACTATTCCTCCTATTCATTGTACTGATCCAACATTATTAGTGTGCACATGTGTGATTTGGAGTTTTGATGTAGTTTTAACAATTTTCCAGTCATATCACTAAGATGTCTGCATTGTTTCAGTCTAGAACGATCCCAACATTATTCAATATTAAGGTTTATATCTCTGTCTGGACCAACTTCATCCCACACTAGCATCCATCCCTATTTCAGCATGAATCTGCTTTATTCTGTAATAGCATCCCTTCGGCCATTTCTTATCCCACAATCCCTTCTCTCCTGGTCTAAAACCACCTAATCTCACTATAGAATGCCTTTATCTCCATATTTTAAAATCAAATCATCCCCCATTAACATTCCTCTCACTCCTAGATCTGAACCCACCTTATCCCACATCAGCATTCCTCCCTCTTCCTGTTTGGTGAGCTCTTCTTTAAGACTGGAGAGAGATTTTGTGAATACATCAGCACACTCCTGTATTGACCACAACCTTTGATCACGTATAGCAGCTGGATCAGTACATTTTGGTACTGAAAACAGAGAAAGAGCTGATGAGTTACTCAGAAGATGGGATTTTATTTTTCAAACTTATGCAGATTAAAAAAATTGCTTAAACTGCTTTAAATCTTTAAAAAATCATTAGTGTTTAGTGTTTTATGTGATAATTTCTGACTAGGCTCAACAGATCAAGTATTAATGGATAATTAATACAAATGTTTATATCATACATTTTTACAGTGAGGTTAGAACTGTACACTAAGTAACAAGAATTCTGCAAAATACTACATTTTGCATGTTCCACCAAAACTTATTCTAAACACACCAAAGTTACTTTAGTGAGAAAAGTTGGTTACTGTGTCCAACTTTTGGCAAGTGTGCATAATGACCTCCAAGATATACCCATCAAGCTTCATGACAGTACATACAACAGTGTAAAAAAATACTGAACTAAAAGAAAAACCTACCACTGATGCAGATTTGACCAATAAAACCACAGGTAAAATTAAACTTAATTTTTTTTTTTTTTACAAAGGAAAGAAAACAATAGTTCTCAGAATGCTACATCGTGCATGTTCTCCTGTAGCACAATCCAATACTCCTGAAAAATTCCTAGAGCAAGAAAAATTAGCTCAATGTTACCTACAGATCAAGTTTTATGACCGTGCATAAAAACTTAAAGCTACCGGAGAAACTGAGCTATATACAAAAATTTGTTTCAGCATGAACTGTAGTTCACTGTGAACCACTTCTGCCCACAGTGATTAGCACCAACCAATGAACTGAGCTAAAATCTGACAATTAACAGTGTCAACAATGCTTCTGAAGTTTGTGTGGGCGAGTTGAATTTTTTAAAGCTTTAGCAATTTTTTAGTCATATTGCTACAATGTCTGTAGCATGGCACAGATGTATAGCATCATATCCCACCCAGTCACATTATTGTGACACCATGCCAACCAGTCTTAACACTAACCTCTTAATGCAGAGTGCCAAGTAAGGCAGCTGCAAGTACAATTTTTTTTAAATAAAACTTTGGTACTACTCAGCTGGGGTTTGAACCTACAACCTCCCATATCTGAGGCGGATACTCTAACCACTTAGGCCAATGAAGCTGTCCATCCCTACATCTTGCCTATGTTTCACTGGTGATACAAAAACTTACCAGCATGTAAACATAATTCATTATGCAGTATATATTCTGAAAGGTTGTTGTCTTTTATATAAACCGCTCCAGTGGCCTAGTGGTTAGAGCGTCCGCCTCAGATGCAGGAGGTCAGGGGTTCGATCCACGGTCGAGTCATTCCAAAGACTTACAAAAATGGTACTAACAGTTTCATGGGTTGGAGCTCAGTATTAAGAGGTTAGTCTTATAACTGGTCGGCCTGGTTCTTTCAGCCTGGGAGAAGTTTTCTCAAGGACTTTTCAAGGATTTTCAATGGCTTGTATGGAATAATATGTCTTAGAAAAATTGAAACTTTTTTTTTCATATCTTACTTTAACTTTCTTATTATTTGTCATTTGATCCACCCAATTTCATCCCAATTTATTATTCATTAATTTTGGAAAAGGATAAACTAAAATTGTTAATCTAAAAACTGATGTATTTTATACTGTTTTAACATCGTTTGCTCTCAGATAATTTCAGTGAGTTTAAGGCAAAATTCATGGACAGGTTTTTGAGACAAATTCAAGAACTTTTCAAGGATAACAACTTATTTTATATTCAAGGAGTTTTCAAAACAAAACTCAAATTAAAGGATTGTCCATAATTGTACAAAACAAGGTTGATGCAGAATGATCTGAGATGAGGTGAAATCATTAAAATCTGTGGGCATAAGTATTTGCCTTTTTGCAAAAACAAAATGACATTTTGAGTCAGTAAAGTAAAATGATCATTATCCAGATTCATAGGGAGATAATGATTTTGTCCAAAATTCTGGTTGGGCAACATTGTTAAATCTGGTCAACAGCATAAATTGTCAGTGAAAAAATATCTGACACTCTACTGTAGTGAAATTCATGGATTAAGGAAGATGTTTTGTTTCCAATGAGGGATTATTATTTCCTGAGTATTTAATTTGAAAAAAATCCAAGGATTTGGTAACCAATTAAAATAGTGAATTCACTGTACACAAAATCTATAAACTCTTTCATTCTTCTCTAATGACAAGTTTAAGATTAAACATGTGTAATTTCTAACATGAAATGCAAGTCTGCTACCTCCCAAAACCAGATCAACTAATTCATGAACAGTTGTTTTTGTGGTCTATAGCATATAAAGGGAAATAACTTGTCGATTACCTCCCCTTAAGAAAACTATGTCAGATTTTTATACCGCATGATCTACCAATCAGGATGCTCACACAGCTGGGTAGATGACTAGTCCTGAAGACTGGATTACTCATGTGCATGTCAACCTGCTATCCTAACCCACTATTCTACTTCAAGCAACACAGCCTATGGTCACATGAATGATGACCATGTTAAAAAGATGACTGAATCTTCTTACTGTCAACATTCAATGGTAAATCCAGTGTAGTCATCGTGCAGGTGATTCAATTTAGTGTCCCACCTACACCCATTTGAGAAGGTAAATCACCACTATGGAGCTGTCTAATATTATCAGGACTGAATTCTCAGAGTCAATACTGCTATAAGTTTATGATAGCTTTCATTTCAGGGTTTATTTACTATCATTTCGGCTTAGGGGTTTTCCAGTGGGATACCTGTCACATGCCTACCATAGTTTCACCACTAGCACACAAATAATAATAATAATAATAATAATAATAATAATAATAATAATAATAATAATAATAATAATGAGGACTTTATATAGCGCCTAATCTTTAGAAGCTCTATGCGCTTTACAACATTTGACAATGCTTAAAAAGAATAACAAAAATAATGAAATGATTACAAAACTAAAAACAAACAACATAAAAATTAAAAACAGAAAAACATGCTTAAATTTTTAAGGTAAGGATACGTTAGAAGGATACATTATTAGGTCTTTATGACTGTTCTTGCAGTTGAAATAGACAAGTTTTAAGGGCGCTCCTGAATGAGATCACTATATCTTTGTGTCTAAGTGCAGTGAGCAATACGTTCCACGTTGTTGGGCCCTGGTATGCAAAAGAACATTGTCCATATGATTTCAACTTCATAGTGGGAATATTGAGAATATGAGTGTTAGAACAGGAGCGTAAGCATCTTGCAGGTGTGTACACATGGGTGAGGTCAGATAGGTATGTTGGACTGGAGCCCATCAGTGAAACATAGCACTGAGAACAAATTTTGTGTTTAATTCTGAATCGTATGGATAGCCAATGCAGGGTACAGAGCATCGGAGAAGCATGCTCTGATCGTGGCACTCTAAGGATGATCTGAGAAGCAGTGTTTTAAACTTTTTGAAGTTTCTGAAGTAGATATTGAGATGAGCCAGACAGAATTGAATTACAATAGTCTAGTCTTGAAAGTACTATGGAACACACAAGTGTTTTAGTGGCATCAACTGACAGATACTTGCGAATGGAGCTGATGCGTCTCAGCTCAAGATATGCAGCCCAGCATATGTTCATGACATGTTGATGTAATGAGAGAGTAATGTCAAGAGTGACACCGAGGTTTCGTACTGATTGCTTGAATTTAATGTTGGTGTTGCTGATATTTATTGTCTGAGGTAAAGGATGTGAATGAGAAAGTCTTTGTGTTGTAATCAAGATGGCTTCAGTGTTATCATCATTCATCTGCAGCTTGTTGCATGTCATCCATGATTTCACATCAGAAATGCACCTCTCTATGCCTTGGATGGTAGCTTCAACTTTAGCTGGATGGCTAGATTTATATATTTGGGTGCCATCAGCATACAATTGGTGACACTGGATGATGACACTTAAGAGTGGCTGAGTGTACAGAATGAAGAGAACAGTTCTAAGAATAGACCCCTGTAGAACACCACAGCATAGATCAACTGGGCTGGAGTGTTTTCTATCTACATGCCAGAGATGAAGTAATATATCATGGTCTATAGTGTCAAATCTGCTTTCACTAGACATTTTAAACTCAAGAAAAATTTATGCTACATGTTAACATGTGGAGGTATTTGGATGCCTGGAAACCACCACTGGCAAAAGAAACCAAACACTGTCAAGGAAAAAAAAACTATTCAAAAGGAATATAACATTATCAAATGAAAATGACAGATTGGTTACAGAATTCACTTGGCATATAGAAAAACAGGATGCGTACTAATACCATGACAGGGTTATTATTATAATTTGTTCAGCTCAGCACTACACATTATATCCAAGTGTTTGTACAGTGTGGAAAATAAAGATCTCAAAACATGGGAACATCATAGCAGCTGACCCTCCAGGTTTGCAATTAGTTAAAATAGGGATAACAATTAGTGAATTTTGACATGAATTCTTAAAGAGATTTTTTTAGTCCGGGAATATTTTTATCAAAACAAATATTTAGCATGGGATTCAAATGATAAAGGTAGATTGTGTTCAACAACAAAACTCATGTTTCAGCACTTGTAGCTTGCAGGTCTTCCGTCAATGCCTTAAAATATTACAGAGCTGAAATTTGCTGGAGTTTTTAATTTTCCCAACCTCTATGTGCTTTTTCACATCATTTCTGCAACTCCGTCAATTGCTAAAGTTTGTGGCACACTGTGCAAAAAGCATGATGTATATATATCAATGTTTGATGGCTTAATGCATGGCCAATTTTTGGTATACTTTCTGTGCAATACATTTCATTTTCCTTGGTGGCAAAGTCAGTTTCAATAATGATGCTGATGGGCAATTCAAATCAGTGTTGGTGGCGCATGCTATGTGCAAAATTCCAGTTAGGGCCCAGTTTCTCTCAAAAGCATTTATAAAAGTACTCTTATACAGATAGACTAAAATATGCTAAACTGCTTGCTACTAGGCCAACTGTATCAATTTGTTATAGTTCTACTAATATTGTGACCAGTAATATCGGATCGTTTTGACAACTGCCAATATCACAACTAGCACTTTAATGCTGAAAATGTCATGAAATTCACACCAAAATCAAGAGATTTTGGCAGCTATGGAAAACTGACCTTATTCGTTTTATGCACTAATGATTTAAACAGCATTTGTATCAACATAAACAGCATCACTACCTGTTCAATATATGCTGATAAAGAGTATCCCATGTAAATGTAGTCAGCCATGTTAGCCCTGGAGGTACGGAATAGTTAAGGATCTACTTATGGGACAAATTGTATTACAAAAATTTCTTAACAAAAAGATTTAATGTGTTCCAATAAAATTTGATGATGTTCAATAAATAAATTTATCAAGATTTCATGATGCTTATTCACTTATCTACAGATTTGATACTAGAGAGGACCAGTAACATTTTCAGGTTACTTGTCCTGTGGGCTTGCAGGACTGTTTGGCAAGTTTCAAATGCTGGTCACAACATCTACATCAAAACTGGCAGTGGCAGTCAATGCATTTGTCAATGAATGGTGAGCTGCTATATTAAAAACCTGAGCTATTTGGGCTGTTAAATTCCAGCATATTACATGGCCAATTTTTCCACATCTCAGAAAATTGCCAAGACTATAAGTTCAAAATCGAATGCATGGCAATAATGTTCCGAACCTGCATTGAAATTGAGACACATTTTAATTGGGCAGACATGTCAATTGCATTTAAATTTCTATCTAATAAAGGGAGACCATAATGGTAGGTGGCAGAATGTGTCTTGTACCAGCATGATGAAAATGTCCTTGGTTCTTTGAACAGAAAGCTTTTGCATTCCTGAGGTAACACATACATCCAGAGAGTCTATCATTAATCTCCTCAAGTTTTGTTCACTGGGAAAACAGCTGAAAAGCTGGAGATTTCTTTATCACCAATGTCAATCAATGTTTGACTTTATAATCATGAAGGTTGTAGCGGTGGACAACCTTTCAAGGCTGGCAACATCTGGTATATTTTCTTGATAGCAGCCTTAAAACTAAACTCCACTGTCTCTAAGGTTGAACTGGAGTATGGCTGTTGCTCAAAAATATCTTCACACTGTTTGAAATCTCCTGTTTATGGTCTGCTTCCATTGTTGAAAAAACCATTCCTTGTGAAACAATGATGTGTTTGTGTGTGTGATTTGGATTTGAACAACATACTGACCAGTTCTAACACTAACCTCTTAATGCTGAGCACCTAGTTAGGCAGCTGTTAGCACCATTTTTATAAGTTTTTTGTAAACTCAGCTGGAATTCAAGACCGCATTTTTTCCCATCTGAGGCTGACA